AAAAAACTAAAAAGATGGGACGATTCCCCCGAGACATTCTATGAAGCTGAGGCGTCGAATCGGCTTACGTTACGGTTAGAGATTTCGGCTCTTCCACGCTATCCCGAGTGAACATAAAACTTAGTCTTAACCAAAAGGCCAGGGAGTGAGGGGGTAGCCGCCCACTAGAGCATACCTTTAGCTACCCTCTTAGACCATCGTACTATGAAGACACTTATAGATATCTGATATCTAATGTGGGTAGTCTATTCGGTGAAGCTCTATGACGTCACTAAAGTCCTTAGGGAGCAGCGAGCCAATCAGTGCTCAGCTCAGTAATTAGCATAACGATACCGGCTTTGCATATCATTCTTCAGTGGATATATTATTTAATGGGGGGTGGGGATGGGTGCTGAATGCTGGTTTGCCGGCGAATGCAAATGATGTACTCGTTGTAATGTGACGCCTTTCACCGAGCTTTTCAATTGTTGTCATTGTTTTCCAAATCATCGCAGGAAAAGGTGTACCAGCTCTTATATCAGACAGACATTGCTAGTATTCAAGTAAACAGCACAACAAAAATCTGAAATTCTTAACGTAAATGTGCTTTACAGAACAGGCAGATGCTAGCCGCTGCCAAAGATTTGCAGGGATTCAACGGAACACAATTGAAGACCTCTGAAAATCCAACATTGTACTTGAACGTTCCATATTTTCGTTCTTGATGATATAAAAGTTTACAAATTGATTGATATTGATTGTCAGATAATTATTATATAAATATAGGGAATAAATGTTGATAATTGAAGAGAATGAATGATAATTCGTATAAAATTGATAAAGAAATGAAGCAAAACTTAGCAAGCTTTCGGTTTTATTGCATAACTATAATCAGGCAAAAAGGAGTAGTACCACATCCATGATGGATGTAACAATGCACAGATACAGAAAGATGCCTTTGACTACAACTAAATTGAAGCTCTAAGTAATACACGTCCTGGATAAAATTCTTCTCCGAATCTTTCAAACGCATATGTTTACTAGGCAGGGAAACAGGGCGCCACGCGTCAGGCCCCCAAGGGAGGAATGACCAACCACAGGCTTACCAAACTATAGAGAAGAGTCGGCTCCAGGCCCCCTATAGCGATTATCGGCCGAAAGCCGTTGAAATCTCTTCAAATTAGGCCATTTTCAACATCGATATTTTGGTTATTTTGGGGGGTTATATTCTGGGTTTTTTAGTTTAGAAATACACTTTAATGCTTTCTGAGTGTGGATTTGCTCCAGTAACCTTCACTGGAACTCGCGATCATTTACCATGAAAAACGCATCGCACGGCAAAAAGAACCACAAATCCACACTCAGAAAGCATTAAAGTGTATTTCTAAACTAAAAAAAAAACAGAATATATCCCCCCAAAATAACCAAAATATCGATGTTGAAAATGGCCTAATTTGAAGAGATTTCAACGGCTTTCGGCCGATAATCGCCATAGGAGGCCTGGAGYCSACYYTTCTCGATAGTTTGGTAARCCTGTTGACCAACCATCACAAACTTATCACACAATAACTTCCTTAACCCCTGGGAATCGACTTCGATCTGGTGTATTAACAATGAATGCATATTTACTGAAAGAGCTGGACAATACAGATTTCTATCTTCATTAGATTMTATACAATAGAGAACGAAGTAATGGTCACTAGTCTAAATTGAGCCCATTGCAGTGAAAGTATATCCTCTATAATCGGAAGTTGCGTCTTGTCTGTAATTTTCTAACCGAGGTGATTCAATCCCGATTCCAGCGAGATCCTCCGGATTTTTCACGTACAATTTGCATTTGGTGTCAACTAAGAAATAATTGAGAGATATGAGAAATGCTCTCTTCATTGCGGCTCAATGTGTTCAGCTTTAATTTTGAAGATTGTCATCTGAAGCAGGTATATTGACAAGAATTATCATCGCGACGATAAAACTAACTGTAAATCCTTTCTAACTGACATTTTAGTCATTTTTTAAGAGCTTCAAAGAAATCTTTCGTGCTGTACTACGAGACGAAATACAACTGATGACGTTTAATAAACTAATTGATTATGACGTCACTTGCTCGATAATCTGTGAGCGCAAAGACTTGTGGTTCAGATCACAGATAGCCCAATCAAATCATTTGAACTAAATTTGTATTAGGAAGTACTCGATGCGACGTTAAAAAAGTACAATCACCAGAACTATTTACGACTTGTATGAAATTGAATTGCGCAAAGAAGTGAGACGGCAGTCAATTCCATATTGACTATTGAATATGTGGGTCAAAGGACAAACAATTGATTGTGGCTGTGGTCATCTTGGTAAATACGCAAATTTCGACGTTATAAATATTATGAGACTTTTGCGAAAGTCTCTTGTAGAGGCTTCTGCCAATTATGTTGTCGTGTTGAAAGAGTGATTTTCTTCGGCTGGAATCGTCGGAAAGACTCGACTATTCGGACTTTTTCGCATACGCGACGATCGATCGATCGATTTCGACTGAGCAAGTCATTCGCTCCAAGTTCTGCTTTAATTCTGAACCGATATACAAGAAAAATCCTTTTCTTATAGCTTACTCGTCCAAATAGGTTTTATATCTCAGCTGTGACTTATAAGGAATCAAATTTTAAGGGAGGGGGAGGGGGGGGGGGGGGAAGGGGAGGCTGACGTTGAGGTATGCAATTGAAAATAACAATAAAAAACAGTCATATTTAATGTCCAGAGGAGATCTTTCGGGCTACCTATTTGAATATATGAACGATTGTCAGGTTACCATATATACCAATACTTTATTTGTTAAAAAGATTTCAATTTATATATATAAATAGCTTAGAGGCTATTTAACAATTAGACCACGAGGTCAAACAAATCTGAAAATACTCTCTGCTTGATTTAGGCGGACAGTACTGGGCTTCATCGGTTTTCCGTCACTCCCAAATCCTAGACCATATCCCTTTGTAAAGAACTGGAACATGAAGCGTTCTGCGCTGCTTTTATAAGAAATTCTTTTCAGCAAAATATCTGAAATATCTTGACGAATTAAATCTTGCTTTCCAATCCTGGTTGGAGCCATGGGGCAGTTCTGAAAAAAAGTGTTTTAATCATTGAAATGATGTACTATAATATTGATAAAATCTTCATTTAGCGGTCACTGAGAGACTATACGTCCCTATTAATTTGTTGTTTATGATTTAGGGATCGCGCAAAAATATTATGGTAAGAAGGCTGGGTTGCTGCCATTTGATTTTCTTTTTTTTTTCGTTGCTGTTGTTGTTGCTGCTGTTTTTATTTTATTGAGCGGGCACGTTATTAAAATCCCTKCTTGCTTTTCCCACTAATTTGTCAACCTCCTGATAATTTTCCGGGGCGCAGAGGCTCAGCCATACCCCTTCATCCATTTTTAATGCGTGGCTCCTGAATTCAAATTTAATTACAGTCAAACGACATGAAGCGCGCCCCCCGATTAGTTCGTTATTCAATATGCATTATTGGATTTTTCATTCTATTTTTCGTTTTCAAACTTCAGTTGATTAATGCAAATTTAAATTCAAATCTCGAACTCTGATAATGACAGAAAACAACACARCATTTCCAGCTTTTTGAGACCGTCATTCCTTTCTCACGAGAAGGAACAGATCCAACCAAWTTAACAGACAGCATATTGCAATGCATCGACTTGTGGAAATTACAAAAGACGAGAATGTTTACAAGTGAAATACGAAGAAGACTTTATGAAAATTCCATCAATAATCCAATCAAATTTCGAGGTTTGAATTCAAATTTGATTTCAATAATGTAATGCTGAATCGACCAAGAATCGAATACTGAATTGAATACTATGGTGTTTTGAGGGGGCGAGCTTCATATGTCTTTTGAC